CCCTCTTATATATATATATATATATACACCAGATTACCCTATATCTAGTAATCCTCCCGACTATTCTCGAAGGTTCGATAGGTGGCGTGACACTAGTCACGTGACCTCGCTTATGCAACAATACTATAAAACCCTTTTTGATAAGTATAACAGTAGCTGAAAAAATACAGCAGTGCAAAATATGTCATGATTCTGTAAGAGTAAAGAACAGAATAACTGTACAGGCTAATGAGCTGCATATTTTATAAAGTTGTTAATAATTAATATTTTAGAAGAATTTGCAAAACCATTAGTTACTTATATAATAATCAGGATGAGTTAAAAAATAGTATGAATACCCATTCATTCTACAGCTGCTTGAGGTATTCGATGGTAGAATGGATATGTTATGGAAGCACCTTGTGTACATGTGACTTGTATCCCTTTTCCAGATGGAGAGCCTTCTCACTTGTTAAAGGACTTCACACATTGTTTACCATAGCTGGGGTATAACTTGTTACAAATCTCTCTCAAGATGGTCCTGATGTCCCATATTAATCCATATTCCTTTGTTTTTCCAATTTCATTAAGTATCTCTGAACGGGTATGGTGCCAGCTTCCTTCTGGTGAGGGGGCGGAGTTGGCTAGAAAAAGTATTGAGGGAGCTACACTCTACATCTTTTGGGCATACATGCTATAGTGTTTAGGAAGTGAAACAAAAAAAATTAGAACTTTTGATTAAGTGTGGGGGCTACAGGAGCTGCTAAGGCACATTGTGGGATAACTTCAGCCCAAGTAACCCCTCTTCCCTTACTATGAAATGCCAAACAATGTCAGTAATGTAGTTCTGATACATGCCATTCCACTGCAACTTTGCATCAACCATTGTTATCAAGAAACTTGCTGATTTTAATATTCAAAATCATTTTATATAACATATTGAATCCCTGTAGGCCATTTTTTTTCCCAAAGAAAGTATGATGTTTGACTAAGAGCCTGGTAAGAAATGGCTTTCATCTTGGGTGCTGAATGTACTATAACATTATGATATAATATACTTTAGTATTGAGATTGCAATTGACACAAATATTTGTCTTGAAATATTTTTATACTGAATTATTGTTCAAAATAAGATTTACAAATTGAATTGTCCGGAGGACAAGTATTTTAATAGTAAAATACTTATCAAAGCTATTTATCTTTCTGATACACTGTGATCGTATTGTAATAGAAAGTATTTTTAACAGTACAATATTTATCAAAGATCTTGACCTCTGTGGGTGTTTTTCTTTTCTTATTAACATGATGTTAAAAACTAAATATACAAATTTATTATTAATGTTTTTATCTCGGGATTTGTATGATGCAAATATTCATGCCAAATATTCTGACCAGTTCATGAAATCATGTAGTAAGTGTTTTATTTACATGGGATACTGTCAGTAATTCTATTGCTTATCTGTAACTTGCAAATCATAATGATGAAGGGTCTTAGAAAAAATGAAATCATTAAGATAATCATTACAATTTAAAAGGTTTATAAAGTTTGTATTTTTTTCTCTAATATCTGTAGCATGCTACATATTTTGTCTATCATAAATTGCCCTGTAATAATATCACATTTTAAGCATGTTCCATTTACACTTTAGTAATAACTGTTTTGCTTTATTATGGTGATGGTAGTATCTCAAAATGGGTACAAATTTGTGTACATTATCAGTACATTCACAGTTCAGAGTGAATTTGAAAATTGCTTTTAAAATATTTTAAAATTCTTAGAATTCTGAGATATAAAAAAAAGACTTGTTTTCATGTTCCAAAAATTCAATCTATATGTGTAAATGACCTGTTAGATTTTTAGATTAGAGTTCATATCCCAATAGATAAAAGCAAATGTTTTAAAATATCACATAACAATTACATCAAACACAGTTTCCTTGTTATCATCCTGGGTAATACTTTAGGTTCAGTTATGCAAAGATCTGTTGAATTTGAAATAAATGTTTATCAAGATATACTTAAAGTAATTCTAATTGAGTTGTGCATGAAATTTATTTATTCTAAAAAAATAAGAGGTAGATCTTACAAAGACTAAATGTGTAGAAATTTAGTTATTCGTTTTTTTGTGTCAATGGGAAATTTACTTTTTAAGAAGAAGATATAGGATTTTATATAAACTACAGATTTATTTGAAAATTCTGTTTAAAAAATTAATATTGAGGATAAAACATTTCTGAAAAATGTAAGAAATTTATAAAAGGGAAATTCTTAAAGCACCAACAAAGATCACAGTAATAAAATAATAGTGTGAAAAGTGATCAAGTAGTAATAGTATGATATTTGTAACCATGTCTTGAGTTGGTTAGTTATATAATGCATATCTTAAAATCAACTTCATACTGTATTAGTTTGTACACTTTTGGATATTGCATAGTTATAGTAATTAAGGTCTTGCATATGATTTAATATTTACAATTTCTATAATTGTGTGTTAAATTCATTGTTCTTAAAACTATAATTTGTATGCATTATACATATATATATTTCTTAGATGAAAGAAGTTCTGGAGATCAATCCACTTGACTTAACTCAAACAATTGTTGATACTGCCTACAGTCTTATTGAACATGGAATTGTGAAAAAGTCAAAGAAGTACAAGCAGGGTAAAAAGGAAGAGGAGGACCAACCAGTTGAAGGTTATTAGTGTCTTGATTTATGATTTACACTGCACCACTTCAGCCATTTAATAATGGTATTTTTTAGTGCTATAGCCACCATTAAAACATTTCAAAACTTTGTTGGGTGAATAAAGCAAAATCCTATATAAAGCAAGCATCGTTATAAAATTAAAGTGTGCCATTCATTTATGTTGAATTATGAAGAAAATTTATTGGTCAAATAAATAAATGCAAAAACATGTTATAATTATGAATATTTATTATTATTATTGGCTACTAAATGAAACCTGTTTTACCTCTTGATATCATTGTATTATTAAAAACCAGTATAACACAAATAATGCCAAACATGATATTGTTTTATTATTTGTTTCTTTACTTTAGAAGAAAAGAAAACAGAAGAGGAAATTAAACAAGAAGGAAAAAGTAAAGAGAAAGTAGAAAATAATAGTGGGGACAAAAATGAGAAGGAGAAGCCCACTGAGCTGGAACCTGAAGATAAACCTGAAAAAGTTGATGATGAACAAGCTAAATCAGAGATAGAAGCTACTGAAAAATGAATGGCTCATCTACGGAATGTTGTCATTTTTGTAATAATGGGAACAATAGTAAACCTGTAACTTCATTCTAAGATGTGCTTTGAGGTTTTGTGCTTATTGTTCAGGTCTGTTGATAGAGTGCTTCATGAGGTGTTGCAGCACGCCAGACTTTCTTGCCACTTTCTAAACCTTTTGTATTATTAAAGTTTCTAAGTCATCAGTCGAAGACATACACTCTTGGCATTTTATCTTTTGTGTTAATGCTATTTTCATGTTGGGCTAGTTAAGAGTAAAACTTAAATAATTGATACAGCTGTTGGGTGTAAGAATCTACTTAAATGTAATAACTGTTCAATAGAAGGTATATATGATTTATTCAATTTACATTAACTGTTGATGAGAGAACTACAACTAGGTTTTTGCTTAAAAGTAGTAAGGAAGATATTTTTCTCTGTATTTTGTGAGGTTAACTGTATACACTTAATTAAACATGATATATTCTTAACTGTGTTTAATGTTCATGCATTTTTCCTATACAGCTAGTATGATATATAATAACCCACTAACTGATGCAAATAAAATTTTTATGTTTTTTTGTAATGTTACTTTTTTCAACTGTGCTTACATTTGTGCAAAACTGCCAGGGTAAGTAGTAAGAAAAGAAGAGAAGTTATGGTAAAACTGGAAGTTTAGTTTAGATTGGTACTTGTAACATCAAACCTTTGATCTTCATATTTCTAGAAAATGTTTGTTCTGGTAAGAAATGTAAAAGACAGTAATAATTTAGTGTGTAGAAGTTTGTTGAATACAAACTTTTGAAGGTTGTATAAGTGCTCATTTAGTTGAAAATTAATGAACATAAAATTTTTTTAAAAATCTTTACAAATATTCATTGTGTAAACAGAACATCTCAACATGCATCTTGATTATACATTTTCATCAGAAAAAACAAATACTTTACAAATTAAAAGTACATTATATTACCCTGAAGGCAGCCATTTGGTATTAGAAGAACTGAATTTGTGTTTGATAAACCATAAACATATTTTTACAATACATTTTTTACCATTTTAATTTGCATGTAAATATATGTTCTATAAAAGAAATTTTTCCTAGAAAATTTTCATCTTTAAATTCATTTCAAAAAGATAAAATGTTAACTTTTACCCAATGATATCATACGTTTATGTTTTGTTATTTTGATATTTCAAAAACAGCTTGTATTGTTAATATTAGTATCAACTGGTAAGAAATTTTACAAGAAATATTACAACACTTCATGAGAGTATAGGGTAAGCAACTCTTGTATTGTTTAATTTCATGGCTATTTTGATAAAACTACCACACACACTATGTAATTGAAATAATATGCTCTCTTAGGGAAAGGCATTATATATCATTTTTAGTTGTTTTTTTTGTCATATGGGTAAAAAAATTGTCAGAATACCTAGTTATATTTTTTAAGTATTTAATGCCTATTTGTATTTCAATTGATGTGAGATAAAATCCAAAACTGTGTAGTTGCTGTGTGATATTTTGATGCTACTCTTTGATAAATTTTCAATACATAAAAATAATAAAACATTTTCATATTCCCAGAATTTAGTTAGAATTAGTTAATAATGCATAATGTAAAAGCTCAGGATATATTTTTTAATGTTATAATAATTAAAATCAGAAATGTATTTAATGTTTGGCAAAGTTTGATAAAAAAAGTGTCTTTCTGTGATGTTAGTTTAGAATAGGTAAGTGGCAAATTTGTTTTTTTTTTAGATTTTACCCAATTTTCTACCAACATTTATATGTCCAAGGTTTGTATTTTGCTACTAATATATTGTTTTTACATTTTTTATGCTTTTTCTTGCATCATGTACTACCCATTTTTTTTACTAGGATCAGAGTTTTTGAAGTCAGATTATAAAGCTGTTTTTATCAAAGTCTTGTTAAGAATATAATGGTTTTTAATACATAATTCAAACTAACATTTTAGAATTTGATAACCCATTAGGAAAACAGCTTTTTTTTCTAAAATCAAACGAAGAAGAATAACTTGTTTTATTTTTTTTTGTATACGTTGAATATTTTCCATTTCACACTTACTATATATATACTTGTATATGAGTCACTTTAAAACAGATTATTTCATTCAGTAGTAGATTATGTCTGTTCAATATAATGTAATGTAGACACTTGAGGTACATGATTGAAATAGAAATATTTTTCAAAAGTAAAAAAATGGCATTAACTTCCTCATATTTTTAAAGACTATATTTTATTAATGCTTTATTATTTTTATTTGTTTTTTTTGTGGATATACTTCATGTGGCTTAAAAATTTTAGGTGAAAGTTAGAAGTTCAACCTTTTTATAATAATGTAATATGTTTTATATCAGTGAATAAACAGTTAAGTTCATCAGTTTTTATGTTCAAAGTTTTTCTAGTTGTAGGATTGTTTTAATTACTTGTGAATTGTGTTTAATACAGTCATGAAGAGTTCTTTTCATTTGATGTAGGATAGTTTTGAATATCTGTTTTTGTACTGTGAATTGATGTATGCTTAATGTTAGATATAGTTTACTCAATTTTCATGTTTGTCTTGTTGTTAACGTCCATCTTTTTGACATCTTGGATTTTTGTCTGAATTGTAGTCGTGAGGGGGTAAAGAATCCTTTAAAGCTCAATTATCATATCATAATTTATTCATTTAATCAATCTTTACAGACTTATGTAGGTTTAAATATATCAGTATAAAGATATACATGTTTAAATATGAGATGAGAGTCATAAATCAAACCGACACTAATAAATTGATAGTTTAAGAAATACTATTGGAGGATAATAGTTTAATTAATAATTTTTGATAATTAGTTTCCACAGTTGGAACTGAAATTGTTTAAATTCGGTAGACTTTAGTAGCATATTTGGTTAAATCATTTGCTGCTTGAGCAGGTCACAGATTATTATTCTGGTCAGTCAAGTGTTCACATCTTTAGAAAAGATTGGAACTATAACTTAATAACATTCAGTAGATTCTCTGATCCAGCTCTCTATCATACATGAAAACATTTCAACTTTTACATGCATGTACATCATAATCAAATATATCTTTGTGCAATAACTCCTTATTTGTCATTTCTAATTAATATATTGGCAAACTAAGGAGCAACTTTATTTCATTTCTCAACTGATATGGGGTTGAATCACATTTCACTGCAACAACATCTTGAATCCAGCATGAATGACTCTACAAGCTGTTTGAACATGTGTTTGATAGTAGTCCATCTTTCTTAGAGTATGGATAGATAATTTTATACCTCTTGGAATAAAAAAAGGTGGCAAGTGTGATATTCAAGCTCATTCTAAAAATTGTTTATTTATGAGGCTCAAGATTCACTTGACATATCACATAATTAGTTTCTTTTGCATAGCCAAACATCTAGAATGTGTGTTGCATGAATATAGGCAGTTCTCATAAAGTAGCAAGTCAGTGTAGTTGATGAATAACGTAAATCCATTCAACTTGTAGTCCCACTTGCAGTGAATTACAGAGAGTCTGATGTACTTACAATATGGTGGTGGCTGGTTGCTAGTAGTTGCTGAAACATTGTTATTAAAGTAGTTATTAAAGCAGTGATACCACACAAGCAACATATTGATACTTGGCTTTTAAAGTATTGTAATAAACCACAAACTACAGTTCTCATACTACTAGCTCAGATAAAGCCATAATGGTGAAACATTGGCTGAAAATAAAAAGGGCCAAAGATAAAGTTTTCTTATTATTATCGGGAGAGTAAAGGTAATTTTTTCTAACTTATTGCCACATTTGATAACATAGTATAAAAAATTATGTTGTCCTGCTACTAAAGCAGTGACAAACATTATAACTGATTAATTTAAGTTGTGATAAATGGCTTCTTATAGTGAATGAAACGTTGATTGGATAACATATAATTATAGCTGTGATAACTGGCATCTAAAGAAGTGATATATACAACTATTAGATAGCATATAAAGTTTTTGGTGGCTAACTTTTGAAGTAGTGACATAAATTATAACTGGATAACATACCACTGGTGTCAGCTAATTACTAAAGTAGCAACATAAGCTGTGACTGATTAATATCAAATAAAGTTTATATAATTGCATGGCTTCTAGAACTGACTTTCAATTGCATATTTTACTATTTTTATTGTTCTTTATAGCTGCATTTTTAGGACTTGAAAATGTCTCTTAATTTTTAACATTTTATTATACTTTTAAGATGTAAGGCAAAACTGATTAAAAACAACCCCAAACTTTAATCTTAAATTTGTTTTATAGAAGATCTCTAAAAGGATTGAACAACTACCATATTGAATAATATAGATAAGCCTAATTGTTTGTTTTTAAATTATTTGTTGTTGTATCCAAGTTGAGTTTTCTTTTATTTCCTCATTATTGTTAAACATACTTCAATTCTCAATAAAAAAATCAGTGTATTTTGTTCAAAGTTTTGATATTAGAATATTATTTGTGTTCTTTTCCTCCAAGATTGTATACTTCTCGTATCAGATGTATATTACTAGGAAACATGTAAAACTGCTTCAATCAGAGTGATCGAACATATTATTTGAATGACAGTTTTTTTTCAATTTGTAAAATTGATTAACACTAACCATTTTCATATAATAAAATTCATATATTTTAATAATAATCGAATTATTGTTGGAATATGTATGAATACATTTTTCTATCCATGGAAATAGTATCCTATATGGGTTAAAATTACGGTTATTGAAGGTGCAACTAATTTGTAGCATTATTCTTCTAAATGTTCTTGTAATGTTCACAGAATTTAAAAAACAAACATTTAAGTAATTATAGTTGTAAACATTCCTTATGTCTAATTTTAATTTACAATTTAATAGTCTTGTAATTATTTTTATTAGTTATGCCTTTTGAGTACATTATTAATAACCTGAAATGTATAAGTATAAAATGTTAAAAGACAAAATTGCCTTCAGCTGTTCAATCAGTTCTTCACAAACATGGGCATGAAATGCTCAATATATGGAAGAACTACTTTAGAAATCAATTAGTAAAAACATTATGCAAAGTTGAAGGATAAAGATCAGTAGTTCTTTTATGAATGTTGGAAAAAATTCTGCCATATTGTCATGTATATTCTATTTAAATTTTGTTCTTTGTGGTTTAGAACATAAATTGATATCATCAAACTACACTGATGTTATTTGTGTCATTGTAAACGCTTGCTTCGTGTAATAAAAAAAACTGTTGTGTCCATAAAATATTGCGTTTTTCCTTTCTGTATAAAAACCTATAATGCAGCCTTCGCCTTTTGCATATAGACAGACTAAGAGCTTTATATGTTCTTCATATAATCCTTTTACATTTCTTTAACTCTAGTTGTGTTTCTACAGTCATGAAGTTCTTAATTATTCTATTATATTACTGTTGACAGTCCCTGAATGATTTATTCTGAGTACAATTACCAACAGCTCTGTTTCTGTGAATAATCATTGCAGTATTTAATATAAAATCTGACATACAGCCACTCACTGTGCTTGTTCTGTTTTTTATACAGTTATTTGATATAATTTCAGCCGTAGTCTATTTTTTTTATTTGTTTTCAGAAGATATTGTTGCTGTGTTTCTGTAAATGGTCACTGAACATTATTTTATAGTAAAGGCCAATATATAATCATTAATAATTCTGGTTTTGTAGACAGTTGCTTCTAATTCTAATTTTGTATAAATACTTGCTTATAAACAGGAAGTGTTCTATTACTGCAGATAGAATGAGTGTATTAGTTTTTTAAAACGTCTATACCAGTTTTAGTTTGTTTTTAATCATCTGTATAGTCATTAAGCATTTTTAATCGGTGTATAGAACTACATACAACTGTTCAGTTACTGTATATTCTGCATAAAAAGCTGTGGGCAGTTATTAAGTGTTTTTGCTCCTGTTTCTATTAACAGTTGATCAAGCTCATTACACACAAAAAAACTTGTGTAGATCCATAAACTTTGGTGTTCTCAGTCTCCATTATTCATTCTGCTTGAAGACTATACACAATTATCTTATGTTCTTTTCCTTTTGTTTTGTTACACAAAAACAACTTTATTAAAACAATTAAAAAAAGGTCTACATCACACTGCATGTGTTGAAAGCTTTAAAATTGACCTGACTTTTGGAGACCCTATTTTTTCACTGTTGGAGTACAAAGGAACTTTTTGAGTATTTTTAATTCATAAGATGAAACATTGTTCCTTTTTTATTATTTTGTAACATTTTCTTTTTCCACATATATATTCTTCCATTCAGTGTGTTTAATACACTGTTTCTGAAGATGTTCTTGATTGTTTATCTTTTCAATAAATACCTATACACAAGTGTTAAGTATTACTTGTTGCTATAAACAATTTTTGATATTTTATTCTGTGTAAACTCTCATACATAAGTATAACCATTGATTTTCTGTTTCTCTATTTTGAGACATTCTGTATTAAAAAATAACAAATAAATGTCCTTGTTTTGTTGCTATTAACAGTTTCTTCTTCTTTATTTTGCTTTAAGATATTCATGTAACCATTTGTTGGTGTTTTCTGCTTTTTGCAGACCATAATTGATTTTCATTATATAAAGGACTGTACAACCATGAAGTGTAGTTGGTGGATTTCTGACTATAGTGACATAAGAAACCCTGTAAATTACTGGGGTGTCTTTGGTTTCTATAGTCAGTAATTGACCATTACAATCATACATTTTTAGAACCTTTATGCTTGATGATTCCTTTTCTAATTCTTTATGAAGGCAGGCCTTCATAAATTCAGTAAGTGTTGTTTTATCTTTCTGCAAAAAGTTATTGTCCTATTTTTTATACATGGTCATTGATCATTTTTGTTTCTTGAACAAGACAGATGTACATTATTGTTATGTTTATGTAGACAATCTATAGCACAAAGATCTATGTATTATCGTTTAAAACCAATCGCACAAAATAGATTTTCAAAGTATTTACATTAGAGCGTAATGAATAAACCATAAGGAAGACCGACTCGCGTGTGTCATTCTTGCATGTTTTCGAATTAATTTTGAACGACTTTCCTTTTCTTGTTACCAAACACCTAACATAACGTCATGAACTTCTAGAAGGATCCTCTTCCTTCCTGAAGTCTCGAGAGGCTACTAGATATGCAGTAGTCTTGTATATATAAGCCGCCAACAACTGCCGGCAACAATGAGTAATTGAACTTCGGACAGAGAGAGAGATGTATAGTTGAGCGAGCACGTGAGACGTTCATTGTGAATTATAGCGTTTGTTATAGCGCGACTGTGAAAATTAAGTGTATTGCAAAGTTGTATTCAGAAAGAATAAACCAGTTTTATTTGAGAAAGGACTTGTATCGCTAAAGTTTCTTCGGAACGAAGTTACGGAAAATTAACTAACGACAAGAGACGTAACAAATTGGTGTCAGAGAGTGGGACAGAAAATAAAAAAAAGAAGAAAGAGATGGAAACGAGAGGCGGCAAATCAAACTACAGCTTAGCAGATTTGATGGCAGCAATACAAGAACAGCAAAAGAAACAAGAAGAAAGACAACAGCAGTTACAAGAAAACCTGCAACAGTGGTAGCTCGAACAGCAAAATAAACAAGAAGAGAGATTACAGCAGTTGTTGGAGGAGAAAGAAAAGAAACAAGAAGAGAAATTACAGCAGTTGGAGGAAGAAAAAGAAAAGAAACAAGAAGAACATGAAAAGAAACAAGAAAAAACAAGAAGAGAGATTACAGCAGCTGTTGGAGGAAAAAGAAAAGAAACAAGAAGAGAAATTACAGTAGTTGTTGGAGGAAAAAGAAAAGAAACAAGAAGAG